CAGTTCTTGTAGGTATGTTGGAGTTGTCTCACTTCATATCTTTTCCATACATCTTGCTAGCCATCATTCAGTATAAATACAAAGTGAGTTTTATTAGTAACTTCACATGAATATTGCCTTGAACTATACTTCTAGGTAGGTAGCTGAGAATTTGCTCTTAAACTGATGGCTGTTTCTTTAATTTTCTTTAGTCATGCTGTCCTGCTTTATTACTTCTGTTCTAATTTGACTGGCATTATTATGCTGGGGAATAAACAATGAAGTTAGTTGAAGTGGTTGGTAATCACTATTAAGTTAAAAAACCCAACCAACCAAAATAAAGCTCGAAGCTTAATCTAAGAATGTAGTGTTAAACTGAATCAAATATCAAATCTCTTGGCTGAAGAGGAATCTGTTCATAGATGCTGTTAATCTGTGTGGTGATGACTGTTGCAGTTGTGTTGTGCGTTGTCTGGGGACTCAGTCTCTGCAGTTTTGAGTTTTTGCTGCTGATATGCTTCCTTTAATAAGAAGGTTGAACTGCTCCATTCTTAATGTGAATATGCTAATATTTATGTTTATGTGAATAAACAGTGATGATAATACCTAATTTATTTTTAAGTGTAGTCCAACAAAAATTATAAGTATGTTGCTGGAAGTTTTTCTTGTTTTACGCCAGTCCTTTTCTAGTATGCAGTTTAAGGACACACAGGATTTTTTGGATTTAAAGTAATTTTTTCCCCTAGAATAAGGGCAAGATATCTGGAAGGAATGGCAGATGCATAATAGAGTTACATGATACTGTTTTTGAGAAACAGTAGTTACTGGCCATGAGAAGCCTGGTTGTATGCAAAAATGTATATTGTTTTTGTATTGTGACATCATAGAGATTTGAGAGATTGTGGGCCTTGTGAGGCATACAATAGATAGCCATTTATCTAACATTCACTTTGTTCTGTAAACTTTATTATCAAGCTTCCTTCCACAATTACAGCTATTTGATTTAATAATGATTACAATAAAATGCATCTCTAATTCTGCTTTAGTAATGTAAATAACTAAGGAAGATTCTTCCGTTGGAATAGATCTCATTATTTTATTACTGTTTCTTCTTTTTGCAAACATATTCTTTTATTTCCAAGTAAGAGCTGTAGTCAAAGTGTTGTGGTGACACAGTGTCTTATTCTACATTTAGAGTTTTATAATTTATGGCTGATCATGATTTCAGTAGTATTAAGGTGCTATATTTCCACAGATTGTGTGACCTTCTGTGTATGCTGCTTTGGCTCAAGCCAGAACACACTACCCTAAGTTTTATAATTGCTTCCTTTGAGAGGATTCAGACCAGATTCCATAGACTAACCAGGGAATACTTGTATTTGTGGCAGTTTGTTGATTTGTATCCTTGACAAGAGTACCAGCATGAATGTACATTGAAAGACAACTGTTACTGCAAATCTTCCAACTAGTTTAAAGTGTTTGGCTTGTGTCCAATGAATTCCCACGTAGGAAAATTAAGACTGCAGATAAAAGGCAGTGGGCTATAGGAAGCTGAACCACTATGATCTGCAAGAGCAGTCTTTTGTATTTTACTGGCATTTATGTATCTGATTTAACAGACTCTAAGCAATGGGATATAATGCTGATACCATCAGTCTGTTTCTTGACTGGTTTAGAGAAAGCTCTAGTAGGAAATTGATATTACAAGAAACTGGAAAACACTGGAAAGCTAGTTACTAACTTAATAGCTTCACAAATTTAGATCATATTGTATAGAGACGTTTTGCCAAGATACAGCTCAAAATTAAGTCAGTGATAGATGAGGTTAAATGCAAGTGGTATTGCCATTGACCTGTGGGTTACATATTCCTTTGGCTGTCTCTGCTGCCTGTTTATCAAGTTAATTTTTCTTTCCTGAATGAGGAAACACACATACAATAATTGAAGCTGTGACATATTGTGCCAGAGCAAATAGATGGAATTTGTTCCTTAAGATACAAATGTATGTTTGTGCTAGTCACGTATATTACTCTAGATAATTGGAGTGAATAACATGCAGTCTCAAGCTTAAATCAGATTTAGTGATGAGGTTCTTGAAAAAGAGAATGACTAAGATGGATAGTGGTCCCAAAGCAGAAATAACTTACTATTTTATTTATTTTAAAGTGTTTTGGCAGATACACTTTAATCTACTAGTCATGTTTTCTTTATTCTAATATTTTTATCCTTTCATCATTGTAGAGGAAATCAAATCTGCCAGCTTTAAAAGCTTGCTGGACATCATGTACATTAACATGGTGGACTAAAGTATTTGAGTGAAAATTAAACAGTATAATCCATAAATCCACATAACTGGCTTAGGGGGGCTCTCCTTGCCCCCTCTTCCTTCTGGATATTCAAGTACTTTTGGAGTGTTTGGACTTGGACACCAGAGGTGTACAGCAGTAATGTTTTAAGTGGCTAATGAAAGTTAACTTTTTTAGAAGAAATTGGACTGTAAACAGTGCTTAAATAGTTAATTTCCAAGTCAAGACTTCTTTGATTTTTGTCAAGAGTAAAATAGGATTAAAATCATACTGGCTTAAAATGGATTTGCAATTTTATGACAGGGCAGCCACCTTAGTGTTGTAGATTGCTTTAGTCAATTGAGCCCATTCAAATGAAAATTTTTTACTTGTCAACAAGTATAAATATCTAGGGATAGGCAAATATGAATCATACCTAAAAAAATGATTCTATTTTCAGAGTTTTAACCTTGAAAGGAAAGATGTTTAAATGTAAAGTAACTTAGTGGGATGGGAGTATGTGAATCTACTTTTTTGGCCACAAGTAAGTTTCCTCTTTGATGGAAGAGGAGGCAATTATATACAAGTTTTAGCAACATTTGGCTGACAAGCATTGAGTTCTGCTTGTAATTGGGGCAGGGCACTACTTTTTAAAAAGGATATTTGAGAATGGGGAGAAGATCTGTCAAGCTACTAGAAAGGATTGAATGCTAATCAAAATAATTATTAATCAAAAAACCAAAGACCAATGACTTCTTTAAATTCACAGCAAGACAACTAGGATACATCTTAAAAGCTTAGTGTATTTTCTTCTTTTGTTCTTCAGTGGTTTGAGCCAGAGTAATTAAAAATGGAAATAAAATACCTCCTCTTAATTGGTAATAAGTAGTGGAATATCTTGTCAACAAAATAGGGGGCTTCTTAAATTTCTAAAAATCAGAGTTTATATTTTTTTAATGAAACCAAGGTCTCTAAAAAGGATTATCCAAGAGTGCCTGCATTTATCTCTCTGTAGTGGGAGAAAAAGCCTCATTATATATGTTATTATCAATAGTATGTTACTTTCTGACTTCTGGAAGTTTAGAGACATTAAGAAAGAATGTAAGTAGCGGAATGATATTTGCTTATTTCTTTTAAACAAAAGCACTAAGAGGGCTTTGATTAAGCACCAAAGCCCCTATCTTCTAGTACTTTGAACTGTTAATGTCAAATTATCTTATTAACATGGGTAATTTTAGACAGGATGCTCCATATGCACTGCAGAAGTTATTGCATGTTAAACAGAGTTTTGGGTCATTTTGGAATTCTCATCTAATCAGAAGATCAAGTATTTAGGTATCGATCTGATAACTCAAGATGATATTTTTAAATTGAAGTACACTGTCTCATACCATATTTTGGTAGAGGATGTAATATGGTTAATTCTTCATCAGTAGCAATAAGCTACTCCTGTGAAGTCTTTCTGAAGTAGGTATGATTACGCATTTTAAGTACATTAGTATAGAGAGGAGTGTGAGTGATATATATTGAAAACCAAATTGTAGCTCAAGTCTTTTGAAAACTGAACAGTTAGACCCCTAAAAATCCAGTTTATCTTTAAATACTCTGACTTGTAAGAGAAGAGATTAATGAAAAGCCTCTTAAAATCTTTGCATTTGTTTATGTTAGTTTTGCTAAAACAGTGTTTTTTAATATTTGTTTTTTACCCAAAGCTGTAGCGAATACAATTAAAAATTTGTGCCCTCAGTATGTCACTATAGTAAGGTATGAAAAAGTGAAGGCTTTATGTATTCAGAAAATACTCAGAGTTAGGGTTACTTTTGACCTATAGAGAATGAAGTTGAAATCCAGTGTTTCATTAAGGTGTTCTGAAAATAGGTTTGGTACTTCTGCATAGTGCAGTATTGTAATGTTGGACACAGTAGGAAAAGGTCACAGGGAAATAATACATTTTCAGAGTATTAAATATTTGGAATAAAACCAGAGAATATGTACTGAAGAACAAAAACCAAAAATCTGGAATAACTATCTTCCTTAAATAAACAAAATTCGTCTGAATGAAGATGTACTGTGTATGTGAAAAAGTACAAGATGAGTAAAAGCAATGATACCAAGTTATTTTTAATTAAAAAGACACACAATGCATATTGTACAAAAAGGTGGAAGTAAAATTGGATCGCAAGGCTTTAGCTATTTATATTTTCAAACTTCTGAATTGCCTGTTGCTCTGAGGTAGGTGTTCACTTAAAACTATAAAGTCCAGACTTAATGTATCATTTAGCTCTTGGCTTCATTAATCTCTTCAATTTTTTAAAAATGATTTCTCTAGATAATAAGATGGTTTTATTCCTAAAGGTAGGAATAGCTTTAATTAAAAAAGTTTAAGTGGTTTTTTTTTTGCACAAGAGCATATTTAAACCTTTCTTTGTAGCATTTTAAAACCTTGTTTCAATGTATGGTTACTAAGCTTAATAGATTGTAATTTTATATTTTTATAAAAGTCTCCGATATCTCTCAAGTCAAATATGTAGTATTACCATTTTAAATAAGTATTTTATGACTATCTTCAATATTCGTTGTGTCTTTTGCCTGTAGTCTTTATGAGGTTTATATTTGCTTTTATGTGAAAAATGTATTTTTAACTTAAGATGAACTTGGAATTGAGTAAGAATTTTATTGCTGTATTCTTTAATCTTTTTTAACCCTTTATCATTACTTTGTATTTTCATTTTACAGATGGAATACCTCAGGTTTATTATTTTGGCCCATGTGGCAAATATAATGCTATGGTGCTAGAACTACTTGGACCTAGTCTGGAAGATTTATTTGACTTGTGTGGTAGGACATTTTCTCTTAAAACCGTTCTTATGATAGCCATACAGTTGGTAAGTAGAATAGATGTTAATTTGAGTGTTCACTAGAATAACTAAATCAGTCTTCAATGGATTAAATGCTTACTTCACTTAGGAGATTTGCACTTCTCACGTTTTAAATTGGTGTTGGTGGTATTTAGAATGCTTGTGCTAAAGTTTAAGCAGGAATACTCTTACATTACTTTAATTTACTTTGTTCCAGTTTTTCAAGTCAGATCATGAATGTAATTACTTGTGTCTTCTGAGTTCTCATCACAACCTAAAATCATGAATTTTAGTTTGACATACTCTTTCAAAAAAGAAAAGCCTTGAAGAAATAAAAGTAATTTTATCCCACACAAGCAGTCGTATTATGGGACTCCTAAATAGCATAAATATTTTTTTCCTGGGCATTCTTATAAGAAAGTAAACAAACAAATGAAAAATTCCCCAAATCCTTACAGAAATTAGAGTACAAAATTATTCAATGAAGAATTACTCTCGTTTTTGAAGATTTTTTCATTTGGTTCTGACTTGAGGATGAGTGGAAGAGGAAAGAAGGACAATTAAGGCTGTGCATGTTTACCAGATTTCCACTTCCCTAAATATCACTATATTTGTACCTTTAATAGTTAAAAATAGCTGTTTAAAACATGACTGTAATTGTATAACAGGCCTGCAACTACGGACATGCAGACACATTGAACTTATTTATAGCCAGAATGACGGAATGAGTTTTGTAAATGCTCAAGTCCTCACAAGTCCAAAGATCAGCTTTATTTAATACTTCCTGTTCCTTTCTGAATATGGAAATTTTGATGCAAAGCAGTCCAGCTAGAATGGACTTTATACGCATAGTGATGAACTGCTTCTCTCATTTATATATTTAATATGCAATAGATTTACATCGAACTTTGCTTGGTGACATAATTTCTGGTTTTGCTTTTAATGTACACAAAACATATTTGTGCTGACTGTTTTGAGAGACAAAAACTTCTGTTATGTGCAAGATTCATGACTAATGTCCAGTGTGGAAGTTTCTAATACATCAGTTGGTGTATATCTGCTTTGGAAAAGTGTACAGTTTTCATTGACTTTAACTGGGAGGTACTTTGTTAAGAACAGTATCGCTTTGGTCTTAAGATACTGGGGGGGGTGATTTCTTTTACACATGAAGCCCAATATAAGGTATTTAGTTTCAAACACATTTTCATGTGGCAACCTGAAGCTTAAAGTAAACTTCCTTGTCTGTTTTTTTTTTCTTTCATTGAAGATTTCTCGCATGGAATATGTGCATTCTAAGAACTTGATATACAGAGATGTAAAACCTGAGAACTTCTTAATAGGACGACCTGGAAACAAAACCCAGCAAATTATTCACATTATAGACTTTGGTTTGGCAAAGGAATACGTAGATCCAGAAACAAAGAAGCACATACCATATCGAGAACACAAGAGCCTTACAGGAACAGCTAGATACATGAGTATAAATACACATTTAGGAAAAGGTATGTGTGTTTTTTAGGTACAGAAGCAGCTGTGATTTGTCATAAAGCATCTTACTTTCAAGTTACAGTTTTTCTCAGTCTGTAGTCATTAAGAACTTCAATTTTTGTGTATTGTGCAAAATATAGTTTGTCTTTATAGAAATAATGTTTATGGGAATAATCTTTTTTGAGTTTCTAACCATCATGATCATGTCTTGGGAATTGTTCTCTTTGTTAGTTATCCTTATAAGAAGGATGAGGTATATCTTTTTCTAGCGCAACACCTTCACATTTATAAGTATACCATGGCAGAGTGAAGTGTCCAGGAAATAGATGTGCTTATTAAATACAGAAAAGTAAATAGGTTGCAATAACATGGGTTTTCAGTGCTTCCTTGCTTTTCTGATCTCTTTGTGATGCACCATAAAACAATGAAGATAAATAATTTAGTGCTTACACTGTTAATTAGGCTTTGTCACAGTCATTAAAGGTTATGCCAGCAAGCTAAAGAAATTACAGGATGTATATAAATATGAAAGTTGTTATTATTGAATTAATAAATTCACCTTGAAAAAGGTGTGAGCATTCAGATCTTCATTTATTCCAGCTGTAGAGAGATTTTTCTAGTGAAAACAGTTAGACCCCTTTGAATTTATGTAAGCCATTTGCTTATCACTGCATAGTAATCACTAATTAGGTTACTCTTTGAATTGGTCATAAAAATGTTGCACAATACTGACAGTTTAACTGTAAGTATAACTGTTAATACAGCAAATGAGAAACGATTCACACTTCTCAGACAGGAATAAGGTGCTTTGTCAATAAAGCAGAGACATGGAATCACATAGGTTGGAAAAAGTCCTTAAGGACATTGAGTCCAACTGGTAATAGCACTGCCAAATTCACCACTAAATTATGTCCTTAAGCACCATATCTGTCAGGCTTTTAACATACCTCTGGAAATGGTGACTCAATCACTTCTCTGGGCAGCCTGTTCCAATGCTTGAGAACACTTTTGGTGAAGCAAATATTCCCAGTATCCAATCTAACCTTGCCCGTGGCACAACATGCGGCTTTTTCCTGTTCCTTGCTCTTTGGGAGAAGAGGCAAACCCCCACCTGGCTACATCCTTCTTTCAGGGTTGTAGAGAGTGATAAGTTCTCCTCTGAACCTCCTTTTCTGAACACCCTCAGCTCCATCAGCTGCTCCTCATAGGATCCAGACTCTTCACCAGCTTTGTTGCTTTCCAGTGGGCATACTCCAGCGCCTCAAGCATCAAGTTTAAGCTTTCTAAATCTAACTTTTGGAACTCAGGTTCTTCAAATAAAAGAAGCATTCACTGTATTTTTCAAGCATAAAGGCTGATGTCAGTTTAAGGTGGCCGTTAGATTTTTGACACTGGGCTCTCATCTCCACCAGGCAGGATAAAAGTCTGATTATTATAAAATTTTCAACAGTGGCACAACCACTTTTGAAATTAAATAAATTTTTTACTTCTCCTTAAATAAGATTGTCCCAAAACCTTTTAAGAAAAATAAACCAAAATGCTGAACTGGTAATTACTTGAAAAACAAACTGAATTTTGATTACACGTCTGATATTAACACTGAATGTGTTCATTTTTGTCCAATGATATTTAATCATAGTATGGTTTGGGTTGGAAAGGACTTTAAAGAGGATCAGTTCCAGCCCCATTGCCATAGACTGGAACACCAGGTTGCTCAAAGCTCCATCCAGCTTCCCCATAGACAGTTCCAGGGATGAGACATCCACAGCTTCTCTGGGCAATGTGTTTCATTGTCTTGCCACTCTCACACTGAAGAATTTCTTTTGAATATTTAATCTAAACTTACTGTCTTACAGTATGAAACCACTAGTTCTGTCCTGTCACTACTCCTTGTAAGAAGTTGGTCCATAGCTTTCTTGCAGGCCCCCTTTGGGTACTGGAAGGTGCTATAATGTCTCCCTGAAACCTTCTCTTCTCCAGGCTGGACAGCACCAGCTCTGAGACTGCCTGAGTATCTCCATGGACTTGCTTGATCGGGTCCATGTCCTTCTTATCTTGGGGACCCTAGGGCTGGATGCTGCACTCCAGGTTGATTCTCAGCAGAGCAGAGGGGCAGAATCCCCTCCCTCACTCTACTGGCCACACTGCTTTAGTTGCAGCCCAGGACACGTTTGGCTTTCTGGGCTGTGAGTGCACATGGCTGGATCATGTCCAGTCTCTCATCTGTCAGCATGAGCAGGTCCTCACAGGGTTGCTCTCCATTCTCTGCCCAGGTTGTATTTGTGCTTGGGATTGCCCTAACCCAGGTGCACGTCCTTGCACTTTTCATTGTTGAACTTCATATTCACACAGGCTCACCTCCCAAGCTTCTCCACAGGTCCCCCTGTGACATATCTTCCCTCCAGCATGTCGACAGCACCATGCAGCCAGATGTCATTGGCAGACTTGCTGAAGGTGCTCTTGATCCCACTGTCCATGACATCAGCAAAGGTGTTACCCAGCTCTGGTCCCGGTAGGACCCCTAAGGAGCTGGTCTCCACTTAGACATGGAGTTGTTGACGACAACTTATAGTGTGACCGCTCAGTCAATTCCTTTTCCACTTTTGAGTCAGATCAGTGTCTCCAGTTCAGACAAGGATATCCTGTGTTACAGTGTCAAATGCTTTGCACATAGCCAGGTAGATGATGTTGGTTGCTCTTACTTCATGCATCAACACCGTGTTGATGTGTTGAAGGCTACCAAATTTTTCAGGCATGATCTGTGCTTACTGAGTACATGTTGATCATCATCTGTCACCTCCTTATTTTCCACGTCCCTCAGAATAGTTACCATGAGGATCTACGTTGTGATCCTGCTGGGCACTGAGCGGAGTCTCACTAGCCTGTAGTTCCTCATGCCTTCCTTTTTTTCCCTTTGTAATAATGAGGGTTATCTTTACAGGGCTGTACTTCTCAGAGATTACTTCTTCAGATGATTCTTCTTCAGATGAATCTCTTCTTCAGAGATTACTTCTGTTATGTAGTGGATGTAAGGGGTAGTGTCTTCACCTGAGGTGTTCCCTAAGGACTCACAGATGCACCTCAGCAGGTCTCATGGGCTTGTGCACCTTCAGGTTCCTTAGATGAGCTCCAACCTGATCTACAGTGGGTAGTTCTTCTTTCTGCCAGTTCCTGCCCTTGTCTTCTGTGACATGAGTGATATGACTGGAATACATGCCAGAGAAGACGGAGGCAAGAAAGTTATTTTTTTGCATCAGCTTTCTCCATATCCCAGGTCTGTTTCCTTCTGGAGAGGTCCCACATTTTTTGTAGTTTTACTTTTGTCCCCAACTTACATAAAGAAGCTCTTGTTGCCCTTGACATCCCTGGCCACATTTAATCCTATCAGGGCTTTAGCTTTCTTAAGCTGATCTCTGGCTGCTTAGACTATTTTTCTGTATACCTCCCAGCCTACCTGTCCTTGCTTCCCCTCTCTGTATGCTTCCTTTTTTTTCTTTGGATTGGAACAGGAGCTCACTGTTCATCCACCCATGTCTCATGGATTTTGCTTGACTTTGTCAGAAGGCATTGCTTCTGGCTTGGAGAAATTCATGCCTGAATATTAACAAACTTTCTTAGGGCCCTGCTTCCCTGCAGAACTTTATCTCATGGTCCTCTGTCAAGCAGATCCCTGAACTGGCCAAGTTACATCTGCTGAAATTCAGGGTCCTGAGCTTGCTTTGCTCCCTTCTCACTACTTATCCTTTAGGATCTCAAACTTCAGCATTCATGATCACCATAGCCAAGGCTGCCCTTGAGCTTCATATTCCCCACCAGCCTCTCCTTGCTGATGAGAACAAGCTCTAGCATAGCATATCTACTTTTTAACTTCTCTGTCACTTGGAGAGGGAAGTTATCATCCGTGATAACTTACTGGATTGCTGATGCCTTGCTGTCTTGTCACAGAGTGGTTGAAGTCCCCCATGAGGACCAGAGCTTGTGAACATGAGGTGGTTCCTGTATCTTGGTAGACAACTGTTATGAACAAGTGTTTGAGATCACTTGAAAAAATCATCTGCAAGGGTATCAGTAAAAAACTGATTTAATGCTAAGCACAACAAAGTTCTTTGCAAGATTAACTCTGCTACTTACTTGTCAGTTACACCAAGGGTAAAGGGGAAAAACCCCAAAACCCAAGAAAATTCAGTCAGTCAAAACAGAAATGAACTGAGAACTTTCTAGGGGTGTATGTTTAGGTGCATGTGACAAGTGACAAAAGGACAGTGAAGGCAAGTATAAAAAAGAATACAGCCTAAAAGCTTAACAGCACTCAAAAGTATTTAACCTTAACTGGCACCTTAAGTTACACCTTAAACTTAACAATTCAAGATAGGAATAACACTTACCAGCATTTAACCTAATTTATAACTTAACCTTATTAGTCACCTTACAGGCCTAACTTACTTTGATATCCAAGATACTTGAAGATCTAAGAGAACAGCATTTCTCCCAAAATTTGCTGTAGTATGTGTGTATGTTTATGCACAGAGTCAGTGCAAGGTACCTATGAAAAATTCCCCTTAAAGGCAGCCAGTTATTCACTCTGAGTGCTTTCGCATTGTGTAATTGTCCTTTGTGCAGAGTTGAGCCTTGAGGAGTGGGAGTATTGGCCCATGATTCATTTTTGTTCAGCAGCCTTCTGAGTACGGCAAACTTGAGAGTTTGTGGGCTCTGAGAGGCCCCACTCAGAGAGAGGCTGCTGGTCACAGCTGCTGCAGTCCAGAATAATTCAAAGATTCTCATTTTAGACCACTGTTTATAGGGTCGCAAGAGAGTGGGCTTTAGTCATAATTATGTTTCATCCTAGCCACAGCATGGGTTGGTGGTCTTTCTTTGAAAGTGTGAGAACAGGGATATTGTGCTACACAAGGAAGAAAAATAGTTTCCAAGGCTGCTCATAAAGAAAACATGAGCTTGTTAGACAGCAGGAGTTCCTGGGAGTAGAGTGTTTCTGATAAACTCAAGAGCTGCGCCC